GAGTGGGACGGGCATTTGTTCCTCCTGCCTCGGCCCCTCAGCTGCCCCCTGCCCGTACAGTAATGGCCGGGGGCAGCTCGGCTGCTCTTTCAAGGTGTGCACGAACAGTCTCTGGCCACCACCGAACACCTTCCAGCTTACGGAGTCAGGGAAGAGGAAAGGAGCACAGATCAAAACCCATCCTGCTTACTTAGGAACTTGAGGTTGGGTCTGTGCTGTGGGTACACAAATAATGTGACTGGCTGCTAACGAGCAAGCCTATCTGAATACCAGCTCAGCGCTATGACCGTGCACCGCTTCTGCAGCCAGCTTGCCCTTACTACTTCAAGGCAGGTTACGTTCCATATGGAGAACGTGGTCAAGCAGGGCATGCGTGGGGCTGCTCTGCCACTGCTTTGTAGGTCAAGGGTACCTCTGCTCGGGGAAAGCGTCCTGTGAAAAGCTCAGGTGCTGATCTGCGGGTAGCCCCCACCCCACGGAACCAGCACAACCTGCAAAGGATGCAGGTGCGGTAATGCAGCACTGTACCCCTTCTTCAGGCCCAGGCTGCCTTAGCTCTCTAGCATGACTCAGCAAAAATACCACACAAAAAACCCACATCAGCTGCAGTAGTAATTTTATTTTTGATCCAAGTGCCAATTAATATACTGATTAATCACAGAATAGTTTAAAACTTCATCTGGAGGATACATACTCTCTTGGGGGAATAAGTGATCCCTGGAATTAACTAATTTTAATCTCATATAATCAATTTAATACTGCTTGTATCCAAACAACTGTCACGCTCTATGTTCAGAGTGGTTAAGCTGTACACTCTCTACTCCTGGTCTTCCGGCTCTGAGACAAATTTTAGTGATGAAGGTTCACTGGCAAGCTCAGACTTTTTAACGATACAATAACCATTCTCTCCGTTGTTTGTGTTCTGTACCTCACGCTGTTGACGAACATTCATGCTCAGAATACAGATGCAGAGTTACTTTGTCAAAAATTAAAATCCTATAATTCTGATTTAAACAAATGATCTCTTCAATGATGAGGGAAATTCAAACCATATTTTGAGATTGAAGAACTGAGCCACAGTATTCCATCTCAACAACACACGATCACATGAATACTTAAAAATTCTTGCTTCAAAATACTACTAAAAGAAGTCATTATTTAAACGATTTGAATTATTAGCTATAAGTTTATGCAGAGAAAGGATCTGCAATTATATGAACTGCATTCATAAATGATCACAAGAAGCCTGATTCGAATCCTGCAGTTCAATTGTAACTGTTTATGCCAGAGGAAGGTAAGGTCTTGGCTGTTCCAAATTCTGCTAGTCTGTCATTCAGGTCACCTACTTGTTTGATATTAGAATTTATTTTCAGTGCGGTGTAAGCTCTGAAGGAAAACCCCCCCTTTTACAGGAATCACACACAATCCTTTGAGAAAAGTAGATACAGTAGATCAAATATCCCTCAGCCAAGAACCCCCAGAGGCTGCTGGCCTCTGAACTACATCAGCTTCACGCAGTGAGGCAGCAACCAGAAAAAGTGTTGATCTTGGAGTACGCTAACTTGACTCTGCCGGTGCGGTGGCAGTACCAGCGTCTTACAGCTTAACGCCAAGTGTTAAACGCGGAATTGGTCGATGAGTTTTACTACCATTTTCAGTAAACTAGGGCTCTGTCTCTTTCTAGGCATCATGCTTCTGTTCGTCATCACAGTGGTTGTTCTGCAGCCACTTCGCATCTTACTACAATGTGGTCAAATAAAACCAGGCTTAGGCATGTTTGTTCCGTGCAGGAAGCTCAGGAAAGTCTTCAGGTAACAGAGCATGAACGCGGCAGATAGGGCAGGTGCTTGAATGTTGCTTCAGCCACGTTCTAATGCACTGCAAGAACAGGAAGGAGATGTTGAGGAAACAGAGCCTGGTTTGAAGAGTTCAGCCCAAGTGTGTTAATAATTGCCACTAACAGGTGCGCAGTTTTCCAGCACGTTCCATGTTACTAAAATTTGCAGTTCGAACACTGTTCTCCAGTGCTGGTGCTGTGCTGGTCAGTTTACACTTGCACCTACTCTGCAACAGCAAATCGGCAGTAAACAAATAAGGTAACGGGAAAGGGCCATGGACAGAAGTAGCAAGTTACTCTAACATAATTCTGACTTTCTTACTACATGAAGTTCTATGTGCAACTGCTATCAGGCAGCAAACTCAGGGTTTAGACTGAATTACCATTTTAGTTAAAAACCTAAAACTGGAAGCTTTCTTGCCCAGTGAGACCATATGTACAGCAAGTCTTGGCGTACCAAGTATTTAAGCACGAACTGTGCGTTGTTCTTTAAGTACTGAAGGGTCCAGGGGAGGAGGGTTACTGTTGGAAAGTGGAAAAACAGCATAAAACCAAACAGAGTTCGCAAGCATTTACATCTAAGCACCAAGAACAAAAATCCTTACTTCTCTGTGAAAACGATGCCCGCATTCAAGTTCACACAAGTCTCTGCTGAGCTCGTCATGACATATTGTGCAAGGATCATCACTGCAGGCCTATAAATCAAATATTAAGTTATTTGAAAACTAGCAACAATTAATCAGCAAATTCTAGTCAGTTATTAACGTTACTAATTTTAACCAAGTACATTTAAGCTTTTGTACACAAAGTGAACACGTCAGTTATTTTTTCCAGCAATACTTGGATTATTTCATATCTTCTAAGAAGTACATGGCACCTTCACGCTCACTGGGAGAGCGGAGAACTTACTGTGTAGTCTAGTTTTTTCCACTTAGATTTAGGTGTTGCCCCAACATTTCCCCAGGGCTGGAGATTTGGCTGCGCCGGGTTTTTACTTGAGGTGTTTTTATGCACAGGTCGTGCCTTGGGTGGGCTGGGCACGTTTTCTTCTGCAGGAACCTCCCGACTCTGAGTTCCAGTCTGCACTGGCAGAGCAGAGGACGCTGCCTTCACAGGTCTCCCTGTTGAAGCTGGTGCCTAGGCAGGTATTGGAAAAGAATTTTAAGCAAGTTCCTATTTCAGAGCTTGACAGCAAAGGCAGGTTTGCGTTCTTTTCTGGACTGTGCGGCACCGTCTCCTCTGTCAGAGATGCACAGCAGAAAAGGCAGCAGCTACGTACACCACAGTACCTTATTTTGCTGGTCCAAAATGAGTTCTGTCACTCTGCTTAGAATCTCGTCTAAGCTCAAACCCGACAGCGTGTTCCCATTTCTTCTTTGTACATCTTTTATGAAGCTAGTAAAGTCTGAACTGAATGGAAAAAAGACAACATCGTTACTGACAGGCAG